GCAATGAGGAAGGTGGTTGCGGAATTGTTAGGCACTGGCAAATTTCCTTGGCTTCGTAATCCCTTCAGGTTTTCACAGCTAGTTTTTCTAGCGTATCTAAAAATACCTATCTAGATTTTCAGGTTTTCATCCTACCATTACTTATTTCAACAGCTTGCTTCTGTTCTTGGCAAGCCCTTCTTTGCATCATTCTACCTATACAAACCACTGCAAAGTTTACTTCCCCATCCTTCCATGCCTGTCTTTACCAGCTACCCATACTCTAATCATATCAGACCAAGCTCACTTCTAAAGTTTTCCACAGTCTGTTTCAACCCCATCATCATTCCTAGCACCTACAGGCAGCAATGCAAGTTCTGCCTCAGACTGACTATGGGATCTGATCTCCCAGACCAGTATATCTGGGTTGGAATGAAACGCCTTTGTGTCTCCTGATATTCTTCATTTCTCCTATGCCTCTCATGCTGCGAAAGACATCTCCATAAACTCTACTTCCTTAGATCCTTCTTCAAAACTCTCCTTCAACTGTGATGTTTACAAAAAAAATCCATACAGTTCAGTCAGTTTAGTTATAACTATGTAGGCTGTTACTATAATTGACCAGACAAATGAGGAGTGCTTCTCTGTTTCTTTATGCCATCCATTTGCATCCATCATGGTTTATGTTAGACTACATTCTTTGGAGCAAAGAGTGTCTTGCCTCCAAGAACACACAAAGCCAACGTCGATGAGTCTATGTATGCATTTGACATCTGTATTTTATAATACTGGAGAAAGTACTTTCTAATTAATTAATGTATTCCATTCGATTCCATTTTGATTTCACTCTATTATTAGAATACAGGAAGTTGAACAGATGCGTATTAGCTTATCAACTTCAGCAAACAAATCAGTCAAGGAAAAAAAAAACCATTAAAGTCTTTTTTGATCTGCACTACTCAAAGCTTCTGCTCCAAGGCAGAGGACACAGGAAGGTGGGAAGCAGCTTGCACTGCCGAGACTGCTGTGGGCCATGCCTAGCAATTGGGATCAGGCACAGCTTTTTCACCCAGTAAAAGTGCCCTGTTCGCCCTGGCTGGCACACATACACTCCACATTACGTGACACAGTCAGGAGGCTATGAAACTATGAAGGCTTTGAAGCCACCACTTGAGACTGGGATTGTATCTGCCCTTGTCTGAAGTTGCTTCTTAAAGGTGTTGACAGTCCAGTGATGGGAAGAGATTCAAACTTTCCCACTAAGTTAATTACCATTCCAAAAGTAGCTTTTCATGAAGATTTAACTTCATGAAGACATTTTTCACAGGCAGGAGTAACAAACTGAAATTCTCAACAGATGTTAGAAAAAAGAGATGTCAGTTCATTAGCCTCAGAAAAATGGGAAGTAGAAGGGTAAAAGTATTGCCAGGATACCAAGCAAATATTGTATAATTCTTTTCATTCTGCATTTGTTCCATGGGTAAATCTGTTAGTTAAAGTACCAATGAAGTAAAACCCTGAAGACCAGTTATGAGAGGAGGAAGTCAACCAGCGTGACAGACAGACATGCCCAGGAATATTTTAGCAGACGCTATCAGGAGACTGAATTTTGCTCATCAGTTTTGATACATTGTCAAAGTCACTGACAAGTACTTATCTGCAGAGCAATCTTTTAATTAACTTCTTATTTTCTTCAACATAATTCCATCTGTGCTTACAGCTTCATTTCACATCGGGTTCATTCTTACAAAGTAAAGGCTAATGGCCTGTTAGATGCACTTTAGCACTATCTCAATTTTCAGAACGCATCAGTATCCAAAGCCTCTATTACTGCCCTAGCTCACTAAGTGCTTATTTATTTGTAAGTAAATGACTGGCCACTGTTTAATAATAAACACATCAGAATCCTAATAAACCCCTCTCATTTATAAGATGATGCCAGGTCTTCTGAATTTTTCAACTGAACAGACAAGAAAAATGAAAAATCTGTTCTGAGGCACAAGTTATCAAGGCAAAACTGGTAATTTATAAAAGAAAGAATATTTGACAAATGTGACCTTTTATCCATGAATGTTGTCTGAGCATTGCTATGGATTTTTTTTTTTCTGAAGTAACTGATGTTTTTCAATCCATGTTAGGAACTGCACATAAAGACCCTACTAGCGGTTTATTTAAATACCAAATCTGAAAGTTTGCTGGCACAAGAGCTCATCATTGTCCCTGTATAACTGAAGTGTTTTGAGGTTAAGTAAGGCTGAATCTCATTACACTGGCCAGAAGTTGTAAAGAGCGGGACCTATTTCAACCATCAGGCACCCGTGATTTGCCATCCAAAATAATAAAAAGTTATTATCGTTCCTATGACTGCTTTTCTAAGCTATTAACTGTTACACACGTTTTTAGACTTATCTCTGTGGTATAAAGAGTTAAGAACTTTGTTTAGTCTGTCTGTCTGTCCTCTCTTCTTCATTCTCCAACTGTTAACAAAAGTACTAGACTTCAGAGGAGAAGAGGATGGAAAACAACACACTTTAAACCCATTTGAAAATGCTGAAGCTCAACCACATAATGCAAACCAGGTAAAAATAGTCTGTAAATATAAATTAATATTTTCTGATACCTTAGAAAAATTTTATTACGCTTTGTGAGCATCTTTTTTTTAGTTTGGGTTTTTTTTTTTCAGAAAATAAAAAATAAACCTGATTATAAAGAAGGAGCTCTGCAATGTACTGTGTATGAATACTCAGAAATCCTTTTTAATTTGCAGAGACTTGGAAGGTCAGAGTGCATAGCACTCTCTTCTGAAGTAGCACTCAATTCTGTTCTATAATGCATATTCATAACCTGCAACTGGTAAATTTATTAGGTAATTTTTTTATTTGTTTTAAAGGGAGGGAAAAGTAGTTCAAAAATTGCAAAACACGATGAACAAACTAGTGTGAGGTAATGTTTCAGAAATTTTCTGACATTACAGACAATATTAAAAGATCACCAGTTCCAGTGACTGTTTTCTTGCCCCAGGCAGCAATGCAAGTTGCGCTTTCTCCCAATTGTTTACTGGATCTGGTTATTGCCCTCAGTTTCGAGGTCCCAAGTCCCACTCCTGATAAATCATGACCTACTTAAGTGACATAATTATGGGCAGTATTATAGAAAGCTGATTCAAGAGGAATAAAGCACACCATCATTCCTATTGCTCTTTTTTAAATTCACTGTAACTTCATTAAACTCATATTACTGACTATTGCAGAGAGTAAAGTAAGAAGGAAACCGATTTTACTATTGAGAAATAGCTTCCTTAGAGCTAGCAACTACTTAAACCTCAAATGACTATAAGCTCACAGCAGGTCCAGTACATTTCAACATGCAGCTATGTTTTAATTTCCTTAAACCACAGGACATAAGTCACAGTTCCAGTAGTGTCTGGAGTGAGATATTCTGTGCTGATAATGATGCAAAGTTTTATATCCTGCAGTTTCCAAATGCATGGTATGCCACAGGAATTTTGCAGGTTCGAGAAGATGATGCCCCTTTGCTTGTACAGGGTTAACATCTTCAAAGGCAGTAGCTTAGTTATTATTTTTGCGCTTAAGTGAATGCACTACTTTTATTTCTGAATAACAAGAGCATCTTGAACACTGTTGGCTTCCAAACCCATTTCCCTTCTTCCTGGAGGTATTTAAAAAATGTGTAGACAAGGTGCTTAGGGACAGGGTTTAGTGGTGGGATGGCAGTGTTAGGGTAACGGTTGGACTCGATGACCTCAAAGGTCTTTTCCAACTTAAACAATTCTATGATTCTATGATTCCTCCTACCTTTGTAATTTTTTTCCAATTTCCTCTCATCAATCTAACAATGATTCTAGCTGATCAAGACATGATGTGCCACCTGTTTAAATCTCTTGTACAAGTTGAGCAAGCAAGTCACAGCACAAACGGTAATGCACACAGGATCAGGAAAAGTAATCCTGCTTAAGTGATCATCTCTCTTCAAATTCCTTTCATTTATCTACATCCTGCCCTTCCAACAGTCAGGTAGTGAATGAAAATTTTATTAAACTACAGCCATGAAAAATAAAAAGAAAGCAACAGCTGTTGAAGACTACTAAAACTCAGAGACAGGTAAATCTGTATTTTGATGGCTAGAAACAGACCATGGTGTTATGTACTCTTGAGCTTCATCACCGACATCTCTAAATAGTACCACAGCCTTTCTTAACCATTATTCAGTGAGGAAAGAGAAAATTTCAAGAAGATATTCAGCAATTTGCAATTAATAAGAAAAGTGAAATCAGTTGTTTCTTTTCCAGCCAAGCACCACACCAAGCATTCCTAATCCAGCTCCCTTGGGGCCTGCAATCAGCCCACAGAGTCAGCAGCTAAAGCAAGTACATGTATTTTTTTCCATTTGAATGCATTGGTTTATAGTATCATTACTACATCAAGGTCTGGCCAGTAATATTTTTGACCATTCTATGCTGGCAGATCACTAAGTATCTATTTCACAGAATGTAAAAATCTATGTCTCACCTATTTAAAAATGTTTAAGGTGTTTCTGCTGTTCATTGTATTCTTCAAATTCTCTGACAGTTAAACTAAAGCTACTAATTTGTTTCTTAACAAAAGCACCTGATGCCTTTAAGCTTCACATCCCTTTCACTTTCCTGTATTGATTCTAATTTCCTTTCTTTATGCATTCATCCGACTGGTATCTAAGGGAGGAATAATTATTTGATCTGTTTTGTTCATGCACAAAATAACAATTATCTGCAAGGCAGCAATATGCGTTAATTTTGAACTACATGTAATCTGCAAAACAGAATGTACTTAAAATTTGTATTGCTTATTTTATGTTAAAAGATAAAACTTTCTATTTGCTCATGCTTACTGGAGGAATTCTGAATTTTACACTTTTTATCCTTTGCAGATAAGATTTCCATAATGCTTCAGCAGCAGATCATGCCAATACATTATAAAAACAAGACAGGCAATTTACAGACCTATCATTACTTGTGAACTTACCTGCTTTTACGTCCTGGTTGAATCGACAGTATTTTGAGTGCTCGAGCAGGGGCAGACATTGCTCAATAGGCGTCCAGACGTATGTCTCTGGACACAACAAGTCAGAGGGCCTATACTGACCCTAGAAAGAAGAAAAAAAAAAAAAAAAAAAGTAGTCATACCAGTGGCACAAGAACACTCCGGCTAGAACTTTCCAGACTGTCCTATGAACAAGGAATCGTTTTAATCTGATCTACCCCAAATGAGTCAGAACAGCTTCACTGAAATCACAGGCTTCCTCCTTTAGTAATTTCAGCACCATCTCAGGAATACAAACTTAACCTTGGCACTTGAAGAAATCGTAAAATTAACATAACACATTTTTACAGTATCCAAGATGAACTAGAAAAGTTTTGGCTTTGCTTGCTGAAACTCTGTATTTAAACTAGCCTCTAGAGTTCTGCTGAGCGGGTGCTGACACTAAAAATCTCAGCACCTCCAAAAGCAGCTCCTCTCAAGTGCTGGTCATTCTAGCAAATAATGGAGAGGAAAAAAAAAAAAAAAGGTTTATTAAAAAAAACCCCACTTAACAGTAAGCAGGTTGCTATTTTTATTTCATTAGCGATGGAGCATTTTGTTCCTTGCTACTTAAATAGTAACATTTTCTTTTTAATTCATGCAGGTTTTCCTGGAATAGCTTACAGGTAATGATTAGTGAAATTCTACCATTTTTTGCTGATTTATTAAAAATATATTCTTCACAGACGTTCCCAGAAGCTAAACAGCCATAGTTATTTTCCCTTCAGCTACACAGAAAATCACCACCTCAGCAATAACCACCTCCTCTAATCAGATCTTAATTTGATTTAAAATAAGATTATTCATCAGCCTATAAAGTAAGTAAAAAAATCTATCTTTGAGCCATTATTCATTTAAACCATACCCTCTTGGTGTTCAGAGCCATACGGTGCCAATATCAAATTAATTTTTAAACTGAAAATTCACTACACATATCAGCTTGAAAAAGACATTCAATAAATAGAGTGAAAAAGTTCAAGGACCTTGATTATACAGGTCTTGAGGCAACAGGTAGAAGACTGGGCGTTATAAGAAATCACACTGCAGTTGATGCAATTAAGAGTTCTTCATAACAATAATATTAAATAGGTAATAAAGATGAAGTTGATTTTTTTTCCAACACCTACTACAAAATGCAAGTGGTCTTGAATGAAGCTGACCAATGTTTGGGAAGGGGCACAGATAATTACTGTGACTACAGTCCGGTGATAAAAACATATTTTAAAAAGTTGCATTCACAATCTTTGCTGTTCTCTTAGATACACTCTCATGCTGCAACACCCAATTTTGGAGAATCTGAATAACCATTTTTTGAATGTTTGCATTGATTCACAATTCCTTTTATTCTCTGTCTGACTCTTCACAATCTTTATAGCAGAATTAACATTTTTCACTATGTATTTCCCACCAGTTTTTAATTGTTGAGTAAGAAATACAAAAATTATCTCTCATAAAAATAAAATCATGAATGTCCACAAGAAAAAAAAAAAAGCTTCAAGCTGAACCTTGTCAAATACTTGATGTATCTTTCCAAAATGAGTCTGCATGACTCTTGATTTCCTCATTTGAAAAACATTCAGGACTAACTTGTACCTACCATTGTTCATTTTGGTGCTTTTTCTTTTTTAAATTAAATGCAAATTTCTATATTAAGTTAAAACAATATTGCTCCAATTCCATGCAGAAGCTTACACCTCAAGGCCTTAGAAAATCCTCTAAAGCCAGTGAATGGAAATGACATTATTAAATAAACCGCTTTGAAATGTTACACTATCTAAACAGAAAAAGTTGAAAGGTATGCAAAGGTAATGCTTAAAGAACAATTTTAGTCACCATTACACAGATGAAACAATTTAAGGACTTAGGAAAAAAATACACCTTTTCAGTCAGATTTTTAAAAAAATTAGAACATAATTACTTGTTGATTTAAAGACATTTTCTCAACTGGCCAAGAAGGAGAAACAGCCAAGTAACCATCTTTCAGAGCTGTCGCTTAAGCACAGGAAGTACAAGGTGGCAGTTCAGTATTTCCTAGTAGCATGGGAATACTCATGGGTATAAGTAAAGATTGCTCAGTCACTTACAATTTTCCTAGAAATTACTGCCCCTACATCTGGAAATATATCACATTTATGAATCCCACACGTGAAAATCATATCACTACACAGCCCTATCCTAAATTTCCCAGTTACTTCTACAATGTCATATTCTGTCAGAAAATGGGATGTATGAAATTAATTGCATTGCAGTGTTACTAGTTAGAACACAAAAGAGCTTCTTTAGTATTGAGCAAAACAGTAATGGGAAAATTTGATTACCCAATCCATCACTGTAGATTCAGTATTTATTTTAGGTGTCAAAATACCTTACTTAGGATGGAAAAAGGAATAAATAGTTCTGAAAGGACTTCCTTTAGATGTTTTCTTCCCCCAAAATTTAGAATCTTGTTAATAAACTTCCCCGTAGATATGTGAGGCTGAGGTGATGACACATCACTGAGCAGTGACACACAGTCATTAGAGGTAAAAATGCAACAAGCTCTTCAACACCTTCCCTTTCTAAAAGTATTTCCAAACATACTAGAAGCAAGGTATTTCCCAGGTAAAGGCATTTTATTTACACTACTGGTTAAACCCACATCCGATGACTCATTCGGCGGAGGAAGTGGGAACACAAAGACATACCGAGGCGAGTTTCCCAATGAACAGCATCAGCACTGTGTCTATATTGATAGAATTAAAAAGAGAATCCACATAATTTGTTAAATCAAATGCTATGATTTCTAAGGGCTTTTGCCTTTTCTTCCCCCTCCGCTATGCACTTCCTCTCAATTTACTTTCTTCCTTAAAAAAATGTTTAAAACCTCAACATGAAAATAAAAACTATGAATCCACCTCACTTTTTTTCCCCCCTTTCCCCTTACTCCCGGACTGTGAAAAACTCTGAACCTGAGAACCCAGCCAGATTCTGCCTCATGTATAGGAGCACCCATACTTCAAGAAAAATGTTCAAATTTCATTATTCACTCTAAAAAATTATTACATAATCTAAAAAAATTGCCTCTAAGTATACTATTTACATTCCTTCTTATCCTTAATATTGCTGATCTGCAGTATACACTCACCATAAATCCAAAATAAAAAGGGGGTCTCCTGAAGGGAACTGCTGCAGAGCTATGTATCACAGTAGAACTTCATCAGATTTGCAAAACTGTTTTTGAAAATCATTTCTCTTTGACTTCAGATTAAATTAGCATACATTTCAGTGGTAATTCTGTCTATGGTAAAATTCCACAACTGAAAACATTTTGCTTTCGTTTATCTAATACAAAACCTCTTGCACAGTAGCACTGTTTATGCTCTCCAGACCATCTTGGGAATACTTAACTACAAGACTTTCAACAAAAAGTATCACCTTACAGACCATCCCCAAGCACTCGTCTTAGGTTTCAGCTTCTTAAATCCAATACCACCTGCTGATGAAATGCACTCTGTCAATATACAACTGCACAGATTTCTGTCTATGCATGTACATTTTGTCAAGAAGTATCCAACAAGATGAAAAACGTGTTATTTTGAAATGTTTTCGGAAATAAAAAAATACATTTGCCTAAAATGTCATTATTTTTGATGCTGTTTAAAATTTTCATGGACGTCTAGAAACACCCCTCTTGAGACAGCTCAACATGTGTTAGTAACAGCCACTGCAGGTCATACCAGATGTCCATGGTATAGTCAAATATCCCATCTCTGACAGCCATCAATAGAAAATACTCTGTGAACACTAAAAAAACAGTATAAGCGTTACTCTGCCAGTACTCTCTTGACCTCCAACAGTTTGCAATACAGATCCTTCCATAACCAGATAACTTCAGTAATAATGCATTTTGCCCCCCAATAATCCTAACCAACTGCTTTGATTTACTTCACTCTGCAAACTGTAGTTCTGTTTGATGACCATTCCTACCTCTATTCCAGAAATGCAGTGAATCATTGCCTTATCACCATGCCACTCATGATTTTATAGACAAATGTGGTAGCTCCAACAGATGGAAGGGACCTAAATTCTTTACTGCATCCTCTTACATAAGGTATTCTATACCTTTAACCATCCCAGTCAATCCGCCCTCTTTCCATTTATGCCTTCTCTCCTTTGAAAGGGCCACAAGGGGGGAAACACCCAAACTGCATTGTTTGAGGAGCAGGAGAGAGCAAGCTATAATAAAGATATAAAGAAAACAAAAAAAAATGTGCAACTTCATAAATTTCTGACTAACCCATTAAATGGCTTGATTAAAAAGCAATATTGAAAATTAATATAGCTATGAAATTCCCGAGTACATGGTTTCTTCTACCAAGTCAATTAATTGCAATATAAATGTGCCTGTTTAATAAAAAATACCTCCAAGACGTTTTATTTTCACTAATATTTAGTGTATTATTCCTCCTATATAATATAAAAGAGCAAGCCTTTAAGGTGCTTTCTGCTATACTATTAGGCATGCAGCATTTTAATTTGAAACTTCTGGAAATAAATTTTACAGTGAGGCTGCCAAGCCTAAATTAATTCTTCACACCATGGTATTTTTTGTTTTACAGTTTCCAAATCAGAATCGACCAGAACTTCTCTGAACTTTTATTCCACAGGAAGGGCAAAGGATTTAATGAGACTTTAGTCTGGAGATTACTTTTTAAATATTTTGTAAAATCTGAGGGATTTGGTAAGCAGTTGAGATGAAAAACATCAGTGGAGTTTGTTTTTGTAGTCTAAGTAAAATTTAAAATGTAAAACTACCAAGAAAGAGAATAGTATCAAAAACGAAGAAGGTCAAGCACCAGTAGCACTGAAAAAACAAAATAGGAAGGTTAAACTCACATTTAATTCTTTTATCAGGTACAGTTTACATCTGTATTCTATTTTTTCACAATAAACCCATTGATCTTTTATTAAAAGTGAATTAAGGCTGCCTTCATCCCCATTTCCAGCAAGCTGCTTAAAAAGAAGCTCTCAGACTACGCAAACAAAGTAACCCTAAATTACCCACAGCAATCCATTAGAGGGAGG